TGATGAGCTTGCTGCTGCTGCTGCTGCTGTTCCACCACCACCACCACCACCACCATGCTGCTGCCGCTAGTTCTTCCAATGCTGCTGCTGTTGATGCGGTTACTGGCAGCTAGTTGCAATCTTCTACGTGGATGATGATGGTGATGATACGACGATGGTATGATGGTGATGATGGTGGTGCTGGTGATGGTGATGACACGTAACACGGCCCCTGGGCCGTGGCGTGCAGAGAGAGAGAGAGAGAGAGAGAGAGGTGAACTGTCCATCCTTGCTCATCCTCTAAGTCAGGGGAAACGGGTTCCATGGTGCCTGTACTTCGCTTTTACTGTTGTTCTGCTGGGCTGATCCCCACATACTAGCTTGGTGGTTTTTGATATGTCCTGGCACGGGGGGAACCAAACATGCATGTGTCTGCAGAGAATGTACGACTGTCCTAGTCCGTTATCGCATCATTTATGACCTTAGTCCCTGGGCAGTCTACATTCGCTCCTCACTCCCCTGTATCCGATCAATACAGTCGTGGGCATTTTTGCCCGGGCCCTACGCCCGGAAGAGAGAGAGCGAGGTGATAGCCACAACAAGATTGAGAAGCAGCGGCAACTGTTAAACCATACACGAAGCTGGTAAGGACACGCAAAGAACTGCAGCAATATGACCATGTGAGTCTTTGTACACTCTTACGAATCGCCGAGTTTGGCAGCCCCCCAAGCCGGGATCCGTGAGGCGAACGCGCAGCATGTGGCCCTGCAGCAGGAGCCGGCTGAGGATGATCTGACTGACTTTCACTCTCTTGTGCGCATGCGAGAGCATGCCTGGGTTTGAATGCGCTATGAACCTCATTATGTGTGAGCGTCCGGGCCGCGCCCCCCTCAACAGCTCGGGACATGTCCCTGTTCCGGTCCTGACAACCCCAGATCGAAATCTGCTGATGTCAATGTCTTGGTCTTGGATTTGGTAAAGTCCGCATTCCAAAGCATTGACATCCGTCGCCAGCCCCAAGCTACGCAGCACAGCAGACTTAGCTGCGGTGCTCTCCTATGGCCTTGTTCCTTGGCAAGTCCCCCAACTTCGGGAGGAGCTCCGGAGCACCCAAGCCGAGGCTGCGCGTCGCGGCGAGGACACGGAGAGGGGCCGGCCTGTCAGAGGCTCACCGAGCGATGCGGGATGCGTGCGGGCTGTGAGGAGATGCGGCGGGCAGAGGCTCCGGGAGGGAAACCTGGCGGTCTTGCGGATGCATTAGCATCATTAGCCTAGCAAGACACACTGCTCGGTCGAGCATGGCGGCAACAGCGTCCCATTATTTTGGACGGTAGGTACGTGCATGCTTAATGAGTTATCATTGCAATCTGAAGGCTCAGCAGCGCGAGCTTCAGAAAGAGCTTGATGAGGAAAGGAGGCTGGTGCCTTCGTCCAGTTCGCACAGCCATGTGTGTTCAGATCGCGGGAACGAGCCTGCAACTTGTCTGGCCACCGCAGTTGTCTGTTGTGAGGCTGCGGCTGGAAGGAGAAAAGAGGCGAGGCGCACTTCGCAACCTTTTCCAGAGAAAACCGCAGTGTTGGCCGTCTTGCAGCCCAGCGCCTAGCGAGGCTCGGGCAACTCCAAGGGAGCCACCAGCGGCTCGAGGTGGTTTGGGCATTGGGGAGCTTGAATGCAATGCCTGGACCAGTTTGCAGGAGGCCGAAGCACTTCGAAAAGAAGCTGTCGGGCGCCAAATCGAGGGGTTCCCCCTTTTGCTTCGGCAGTTGCCTCCTTTTTCTCCACGTTCCCCTTTTGCTTCTGCAGTTGCCTCCTTTTTCTCCACTCATGCAGAGGAAAAGCTGCTGGCAGACCGAAAAGAGGCCCAGCGGGGATGCTGCAGTGCGAACTGCAACTAACCTAGTCTTACGGCAGGCTTGGCTGCTTGCTCTTTTCAACTTTTCAACTAGAACAAAGGAGTATCCAAGGTCTTCAGGGGTTACAGTAAGAGTTTTCTGTAGTCCAGTCGTGGATCCCGAATTTCCGAGGATCTGCGGCAGCTGCAGGACTGCTCTCGGCCTGAAATGCCAGCGCTCGGGTTGACATGCTCAGAACCGCACTCAGCACTCAGCACTGGATTGAACGGCAATTCTGGTGTGTACTGCTGAATAGTGAGGAGCAGATCCGTGCCATCGCAGTCACAGTGCAGAGAATCAGATGTCTGTTGCAGGAATTGCTGCAGACAGAGCAGTGCCTCGGCAGCCTCAAAACATCCGATGGGGCAATGGGGGGCCATGGGACTTAGGAATACCTGAACCGTAGGGCAGGTTCTCGTGAGGAAGCGGGCTTCGGGGATTCCAAAGTGCTGCTTTGGAGGTCTGCTCGTTTGGCCTCCGACCAACGCTGCAGCCAGACCGAGGTGGGTTTGGTTCGCAGTAGCGCTCGTCGGAGGAAGAGCCCCCCGGAAGAAGCAGTAGCAGCAGATGTAGTAGTAGTAGTAGTAGTAGTAGTCGTAGTCGTAGTCGTAGTCGTAGTCGTAGTCGTAGTCGTAGTCGTAGTCGTAGTCGTAGTCGTAGTCGTAGTCGTAGCAGCAGATGTAGTCGCGGTGGTGCTAGTGGTGCACTCTTGCCCTAAAGCATGGCGCGAAGATCCACAGGACCAGAGTCGTCGCAGATCCGACGAGCTAGAGCAGCTCCGAAGCCAAAGTGCACTTCGGCGGTAATTTCTCGAACATGTTTTGGATTTTGGACCCTGCTTCCGGATCCTGCGGGCAGCTGTGAGCTTCCGCCGCCCCAGGCAGAGATGCTCCGGCGCGAGAAGCAGGCCAGTCGACTGCGGGGCCGTGTTGGTTGCAGTCCTGCTCAGTCGGTTTAGAGTACCGCATGGCATCCTAGGAGAAGCGGCGACATGAGGAGGCCTACGAGGAAGCGAGGACGGCCAGCTCTCACGAGCGGAGGGGATGAGCACATCACGAGCCTTTCGGAAGTGCTCATTGAGCCTTTCCAGGTGGATGCGTAGTGAATAGAAGGCCACATCCCGAGAAGATGCTCTCTGCTAGGTTCTGTCTTCCCAGAAGGTTCACTCGCGGTACGTGCTGTGCCCCTGCTTCCAGGAGCAGGATGCACGAGTCTAGAGTTTAGACTCAACTAGCTCGAGATCCAGTAGTTTATCTTTGATTTCTGCTGTCCATCTCAGTATCCTGCGTCTACCACGGAGTGAGTTTCGTCTTGGACCGCAATATGGACCCGTAAACTACAGAGCCATGTTCTTCTGCTATCAAACGGCACGAAAAGCGGTCAAGTTAGTTCAGGGTAGTTCAATGAGCCAAGTATGGACACTAAAGCATGGGTCGGAGCGCAGGAACGCGCAGAGGGACGCGGAGGAGCAGTGCAGGGCCTTGAAGGCACCAAAGTAAGACTTCCTGATTGCAGGCTTTTTGGGGTTTTAGCCGCTGAAGGTGTTAAGGATTTGAGAGTTTAGTCTCCTCGTACGTTCAGGGTTACGGGTTTTCGAGGTTCGAGTCAGGTTTCCAGCTTGAGGTATACGAGCTTCCTCGCCCGAAGCCCCAAGCCCTAAACTGGTTGCTCATTGAACATGAATCTTCCAGACAACTCTAAGCATGCTGGGAAGGAACAATACAACATCAGTGACATCAGCCTTCACCATGAGCAGCAGGTTATCAGGGATCCGAGAGGTCCAGCAAACACCTAGCAGCCACGATGCTGACAGCACCTTCAGGCACGAAGGGGAACACATGATGACAGCTCTGGAAATGGAAGCTGTTGCAGTGGCAGCGACAATGTCAGCTGTCGACGATCATAATGGTAGCAGTGCTGCTCGTCACAAGGCATTAGCATGTGTTAGCAATGATGACACGATGACCATGATGATCCTGATCGCCACGAAGAAGATGACAATCTCGAAGCAGTGGTGATCGTGAGATACGGGCAGACAAGTGATGGTCGTGTTCGCTATCACGTTTCGACAACAGTAGGATATTCGTGGCGATTGTATCATTCGTCAGGCGGATCTAGCGCAATGTCGGAGCGAGCTGGATGCCGCGACGGAGGACGAGACTGTAATTCAACGTCAAAAGTTCTCTGCAATAGCTTGCATTCCACACTTTGTGCATGCGAGTTGCCTTGTGTCGCGGTTGCCCTGACATGCTCCAAGCCTGTGTCGAAGTCATCCTGTCAGGTAAGGCTTCAGGTGCAATTTGTCGGGGCTGTCCGTTCCCTCGCTGCTTCCTTGCCTTAGGAGCTGGAGCGCAGCAAAGCCGAAGGCGAAAGCCTCGAGGCAGCTCCATGCACTAGTCTGCATCTCGTACGTTGGCGCGACCGAGTTGGTTTCATCCGAGCATCGCTCCTGAGATGCGTCAGCAGGTTCTGTACTTGCCTGAGGCGATTTGAACCTGTTCAGGTTTCGAATTGCGCGCTTCCCTGGTGGAGGGTTCTTCGGGCGTACCGATTTGAAGCTGATTCTGTCTGTGCAAGTCTTCGAGATAACACTTGCACAGCCGCCAAGAGCCACCAAGTAATCCGCATCGACTTGCTCTCGCAAGTCGTTCTTTGAAGGAGCATCGCTTTGCAGACCCAGCCATAGCACACAGGCGCGCCAGCGGCTGTCCACTCAACAGCAGGAGGTCCACGGCTTGCAGAGTGCTGTGCAGATGTTGGCAGCCTGGGAGCCTCGAAGGGAAGGTGGAAGGACGAAGCCGCTAAGCGGCTGGAGTCTGAGCGGAGGCTCGGTGCACACTACAGCCCACACTCCGGGCACTAAGCATGTGCAACTGACAGCCCCGAAAGCATGTGCAGCCTAGCGGAGCCAGGGTGACTTCGCTCCAAGCCAGCTTGGATGAGTTGAGCAGAGAGAAGGCAGACTTGGAGGCGGGAGGCTTGTCAACGAACGACTGGTGATCCGACGACTGATCTGCCAAAACAGTCTCCAAACCTTGCTTTGAGGCTGACTTCGGAGGCTTTTTCGGGGATTGGGTTGGGGTCGCATCGCTCTGACGCTCCCTGCAAAGCAAGGGCGAAGGGTTCCGAGGTTGAATCCAGAGTCCGAAACTCTGTGGCCTCAAGCCGGAAGCAGTTGGAGTTGGATTCGAGGTGATTTCGGTCATGCTTTGTTTCGTTCTGCAGTCTACAGTCTACAGTGTCTTCAAGTCTTCGCCACGTGTCTAGAATCCCGGGATGCCCGCAAGCCACAAGGCGCAGGTGCGAGACTTCCAAGCGAAGCTTGCGTTGCAAAGCTCTTGCCTCAGTGCAAGGCACAGGCCACATCTAAGCAGGGGCTTCGTTGGCTGCTGTGCTGGGCTGTCGATTTTGGTCCCTGGCACTTCGTCTTAGGGGGGGAACTTCTTGACAGGATTGCATCTTGTGTTTGTTTGGCACATATGTCCCGATGACTGACAGAGTGACGTCGTGCTCTGTTGCTGACCAGGCTCAAGAGCCGAGCATCTGCCCAAAGCTCAGAAAGCTCGTGTCATGTGCAGCCGGGAAGTGCGACCCCCCCGGCCCTTCCCGGCTGTTCCCGGCTGTTGGGGGCTCTCTGGTTTCACGGCTCCAGCAGGCAAGAGGAGTTGCGGCAGCTTCAGGAAAGCGAGGAGAGCCCACGACTGGGGCTAGCGGCGCTTCTTGGCGGGACTGTTCAGTCCCAGTGTCTGATTTTTCAGGAGACCTGGCTGCAGGAGCGAGCAAGCAGGGCGCCCGGAGTCTCTTTGGAGCCTCCAAACGACCCCTCAAAGCTGTCCCGTACTCGACACGAGCCGAGGCCTGAAAAAAGAGCTAACCAGGCAAAGTGCTGAGCTGGAGGTGAGCGGATCCGCGACTTGACCGCTTTTGGTTTCTGTGCATTCGAGGTTTCTGTGCTTTGATCACATTCTTGGTGCGTAAGAGGCCCTGATTCCTGGAAGTGTGATCGTGTGTCTTTGAGGCGCTTGGAGGGCTTCAGCAGCGACTTGACACGGAGCCAAACTTCTGCTTCCGTAAGCACGAAGCGGCTCGTCAGGGCTGGAAGTATTTCGCGCAAGGAGACCCGTCTCGTGCAGCAGAGGGAGGAAGAGGAGTTGCTGCGATGCAGTGTGTTGCAGCTTTCCTGGCGGAATCCGCAGGAGCGCGGTCTGCGCGAGAGCCTGCAACGAGCACAAGCTGCCCGATGCCCGGGCGACCAGATCTGCCATGTTCCGGAAGAGGAGCTCCTGAGTGCAGGACTTGGCTTCCGAGCGAAAGGCATTGCAGGAGGCGGGGCTGGCGCAACGCAAAGTAGAAATAAAGCTTGGTAGATCACCCAGGAGAAGCGTCTGGCACGACAGAAAGTGGAAGAGGAGATGAGCAACAGCAGTGGTTACCTGCATGGCTGGGCAAGAAGAGTGACTAGGAGCGCGCGCTGCGAGAAAGTCTGCAGCAAGTGGAGGCTGTCCGAATCTCAGAGATCGTCCGCTGCCCCCGGATCGGAGCGATGAATCGCGAGACTCCGAGACTGAAAGGACTTGGCATCTGCTAAAAAGCAGTTGCTGGAGGTGCGATCGGATGCTGTCAGCTCCGAGGGTGTTTGTGGTTTTCGCGGGAAGCTGAAGGCTTTCTCAAAGCGGCAGCTGTCAGATCCTTTGGTAGTTGCAGCAGCATGTCAATGTGTTGCCGCAGTCGGAAGGAGAAGCGCCTCGTGCAGCAGAAGATGGAGGAGGCCGTGGATGTAGCATTGAGCCCGACGTTTTGTTTCAGTTTGTCGGCTTTTGAGGGGTTCCTGGGCTGGCCCACGTCGAGGCTTCCGTCATTCGAGCACTCCTCGAAGCTTAGACTCTGACCGACCCCAAAGTGCCAACAAGCACAAAAACCGAAGCCTTTGAAGGAGAGCCGGCTCCGTGAGGGGCTCCAGCGGCTCGAAAACGCTCAGAGCTCAGCGGGCATCTGAACGGTGGCAGTTGGGTCGTCTGATGAGGGCTTTGTTGAGGTGAGGCGAGGTGTCGGTGAAGCTAAACAGCTAAACCTTGAGATTGGATTAGTTTGCGTTGGGTCGGGTGGGGTTTGACTCGGTTAGGTTGGGTGAGGGCATTCGGTATTCTGTCAGTTTCGGTCTGGGGCCGGTTGGTCAGGTTGTAGGTTGGGGTAGGGTTAATGGTCAGGTGAGGTTGATCTGGTAGGGGTCTCCTTCATGTCGCGTTGGTCAGGGCCGGGGTGGAGTAGGTTGGGTCAGGCGGGGTCGGTTCGGGTAGGTTGGGTGAGAGCATGTCGGGTTTGGGATAGGTTGGGCCAGGCTGGGATTAGTTAGGTTGGCTCAGCTCGAGGGTCTTGCGCAGGTCCTTGTTGGGTTTCGTTACGTTCGGTTTGGTTAATGATGGGGCTTGGCACAGGTTGGGTCCAGGCTAGGAGCGAGTTCTTGTTTAGGTCAGGTTCGGTGGAGGTGAGGTTGGGTTAGCTTGGGTTAGGTTTTGAAGTTCGGGAAGGCTCAGGTTAATCTTAGGGGTCTAAGGGTCTTAGGGTTAGGTAAGGGTGGGTTGGGCTGCGTTGTGTTGGGCCTGGGTAGCTCATGTTAGGTGAGGGTTTAGCTTAGGTGAGAGCAAGGTTCGGGGTGAGGTTAGGCGAACTCGGATAGATTGCATCAGGTGCGGGCAGAGCAGGTTTTGTGATCAGGGTTGGCTCAGGCTGGGCTGGTTTTATATGGATCTGGTACGGTGAGGCTAGGTTGGTTTAGATTAGGCTAGGGTCTGGGACAGGTTAGGTTAGGAGGGTAGTTAGGGTTCAGGTCGCGAGTTATGTGGGGTCGTGTGGGGGTTTGGTTTGGTTTTGTTCGTTGAGGGCATTCCGTATTCATCTTTGTTACTAGTTTAGGGTCTGTGAGAAGTTGAGTCAGGCTAGATTAGGTTAGGTTGGCTTAGCAGGTTAGGTTAACTGCGGATAGTCGCTTCCTCTTTTCTGAGTTGCCCCCTTTCGTGCTGACTCGCCCGAGAGTGGCATCTGAATCGGGTTTCTTGATTGCTGAGCCGTCCCCTTGTTTTCAGAATGATGGTTTCTGAATGGCCTGCCACTTCCCCTGAGATCTGTAGATGAGCCAGGAGCTGTCGGCAGCCCAGCAGTCTCTCCAACAGGCTCTGCTTGGGGGTAGCACCCCAGAAGGGGAATCGTTGGCAGTGGATGCTGCGTTTGGAGGATCATAGACAGAGCGTCTATTGCAGCTTTTCGGTCTCATGTTGTCTAAAGGCTCAGATGCATCGAATACAGGAGAAGCAGCTGTCCCGGCAAGCATTGGAGGAGGCACGGACGGGGCAGTAAAGCTCGCGGACATGTTGCTTCGACAATCTGCCAGCATCTTCGAAGTCTTGAACTATACACTGGCACACGAACACCCTAGGTGTACGGCTTTGAGAGCATCGCGAGAACTCCCGCATCTGCGCTGTTGCTTACAGTGACGTTCGAGGAGCGCCGGAAACATCGGCTCCAGCAGGTGGATGTGGCGTCTGTGAGGATCCCAACTGCTGCCGGCCGAAGGGTGTGTGGTAGGGCTAGGTCCGCTAGATGCTGTAGGACATCCGACTTCGTGCATTTCCTTCTCAGTGATGTTGCCGTCTTGCAGACTCTGGAATGCAGATGCGCCACTGGGCCCCGAGGAACGAGATGCCTTCAAGAGCCAGCTCGAGGAGAAGACGTCGCTCTTTCGCAGCGCCGAGGAGGAGCGCTGACCGAAAGCAAAAACCCGAGCGGCCCAGAAACTGCCTTGCCCTGCCCTGCGCTGGCCCCTAACCTGTTCGCCGTTTACCAGCCATTTTGGCTGTAGAGCAGCTGAGCAGGTGGGTTACTGCAGAATACAGAATCGATATCGCGTGCATCGCGCCATGGCAAGATCCCGGCTGCTGGTCCTTGTGTGGTTCGTCGTTCCCACCGTGGCTTTGGAGCAGTGTCTCGCAGAGCTTGCCGGGAGGACTGGTGAATGCACTCCATCCGACTGGGCGGATGGCACAGACGAGTTGCACGACTTGGCCGTGAAGTGTTTCAGAGAGTGTTTTGCCGACCCATATTCGATTGAAGAGTTGGAGGGAGCAGATCCAGCCAGAAATTATTATCCGGCAAAAGCTTACCCGACAAGGGAGCTGTGCTCAGAAGAGCGTCCTGTACCGAGCATGCCACCAGTTCATTGCAAGATGATTGCGGCCTTCGGGCTAACGTGCAGTAAACCGTTCAATGTGCAACCAAATGCTTGTAGTGGCAGCGTGTCCTTGCCAGGCAACCATTCGGCTAAACGGGCTGTCTTTCTTGCGCTCTACTCCTTCGCACGGCCGAGCGCGCAAGACTTGTCCAAGGTTCACTATGTGTTGGAGTCGCGAGTGATGGCAGATGGAGTCAACGCTTGTGCAGGAACATACAACATAGTCAAGGCGGAGAGCAACTGCCTCGGCCTCGATGCCGAGGCATCGGTGAATGGTGGGTCGACTTCTCCACCAGTGCCGCCTGAAATCCCCGCAATGGGCGCAGAATTCCCTGCTGTGACGACGGCTACAGTCCCAAAAAACATCATAACAACTACGACCACTACGACCACCACGACCACTACGACCACCACGACTACCACGACCACCACGACCACCACCACGACCACGACCACCACCACCACGACCACGACCACCACCACCACCACCACGACCACGACCACCACCACCACTACCACGACCGCGACCACGACGACAACCACAGCCACAACCACCACTGCACAGACAGACGCAAATA